GAGAATGCCGAGTTTCTGGACCAGTCCAAAGCCACACCAGAGGCTGCCGAGTTCCTGGACCAGTCCAAAGCTACACCAGAGGCTGCTGAGTTCCTGGACCAGTCCAAAGCCAGACCAGAGGCTGCTGAGTTTCTTAGAAGAGACAGCAGGAAGTCTTCTAAAAACGCTTCCTGTAAAACATCTTCTGACAGGCTGACTGTTCCAGTCCAAGAGGGGAGAAGGTCTGGATTCACTTGACTACTTTATTCTCTAGTTTTTTTTAGTTTGGCTGTGAATCGTTAACGTTCATGACCTGTTTTTAAATCTGAAATTGTTGTTTTCTTCAGTGAAAGCACAACATCCGTTCTTTATATCATACTTGTTCACCGGTGGTAAAATTTATGGCTTTTCTTGTTAAAGTTTTAGTTCAAGATGGTTGCCGCAGCTAATCAACCGTGGCAAACCTAGAAACGTCTTTGACTTGGTTAGTTTTCCTTATATTTGGCTACATCTTGGTGTGGTAGTAGCTGGAGTCCAACAAGTACCCCGAGTTAAGATTATTTTCAAGTTTTGACTGGAATCATTCTGACTCTGCCCCCTCTGCTCATAGAGATGATCCTCAGTGATGTCTTTTTCAGTCCACAGCGTCAAAGTGGGAAGAAGCGTCGGCACCGAGTTTTACAGAGCTCTGAGGAAGTCCAGTCTGCTAAGATGCTGATGGATGTGGAGCTGAAGAAGGCTCGGCTGGAGAGCAAAGAGTCACCAGTCAAAGCCTGTGATGAACCAGGTAAAAACATGTGCTATTTCTGTCCAGTCTAATTCTAAGGTAGATTCTTACTGTGCTGCAGCTGTTGGGAGATAATTTAAGAATAAAACTTGGGTGGAAATGTGTAAAGTTTGTGATGAAGTGAGCAGAAAGCTCCACAGGTGCATCTGGATGAGTTGGTTTCTAAAAATCACAGCTCATTTTTGTGTTCACGGCTTACTGAGCTGTATTCTATGCCCAGCTTGGTAGCTATCTACAAAATAAAGATTTAATCTGTTGGATGAACTTTAACATGTCAATAACTTTTGTTTCAAACTAGTCACAGAGTTGTCATGGTTTCTTTGAGCCGTCTCCGAGCTGGACTTTGACTGCTACAGGGAGCTCTCCTCTAACAGAAAACCAGTCCAAGATTAAAACCATCGTTATCAAAGGCCACAAGGAGGGAAACATGTCAGGAGACAGAGGGAGAAGAGGAAAGTCAAGAATGTAGGACTGAGGGTGGTAACCCTAAATGTGGGGACAATGACAGGCAAAGGTAGAGAGCTGGCTGACATGATGCAGAGAAGGAAGGTAGATGTTTTATGTGTTCAAGAGGCCAAGCAGAAGGGCAGGAAGGCTCGCAGAACTGGAGCAGGTTTTAAACGGTTTTACAATCATGTGGATAGAAAGAGAAATGGAGTAGAGGTGATCCTGAAGGAGGAGTTAGCAAATAATGTAGTAGAGGTAAAAAGAGTGTCAGATAGGGTGATGTGTCTGAAGGTAGAAGTAGAAGATCTGATGCTAAACGTTGTCAGTGGTTATGCACCATAGTTTGGATTTGATGTAGAAGAGAAAATTTTATTTTGGAAGGATTTGGATGAAGTGTTGATGGATGAAGAGTATTCCCAGGGAGGAGAGAGTGGTGATCGGGGTTGACCTGAATGTGCATATTGGTTAAGGAAGCAGAGGGGATGAGGAAGTGACGGGTAGATTTGGTGTCAAGGAAAGAAACCAGGAAGGACAGATAGTGGTGGATTTTGCCAAGAGAATGGAAATGGCTGTAGTCAAAACTTATTTCCAAAAGAGGGAGGAACATAGAGTGGCCTATAAGAGTGGAGGAAGGAGTACGCAGGTCAACGACATTCTGTGTAGAAGAGGAAACCTGAGGGAGATTGGCGACTGTAAGGTTGTGGCAGGGGAGAGCGTGGCCAGACAACATTGGATGGTTGTGTGTAGAATGACTGTTGTTGTGAAGACGCGAAAAAGAGTAAAATCAGAGAGGAAGACCAAATGGTGGAAGTTGAGGAAAAATGTTGTGAGGAGTTCAGAGAGGAGATGTTAAAGGGTCTGGGTGGTAAGAAAGAGCTTCCAAATGACTGGGCTACTACAGGAATAGTAATTAGAGAGACAGGTAGGAAGGTACTTGGTGTGTCGTCTGGACAGAAAATGGATAGTAAGGAAACCTGGTGGTGGAATAGTGAAGTGCAGGAAGCTATTCAAAGAAAGAGGTTAGCCAAGAAGAAATATGATGGTGAGAGGACTGAAGAGAGAAGACAGGACTATAAGAAGATGCAACACAGTGTTTCCCCTACCATTATCCAATGACGACACCCTGCCCTGTCAACAAAACCGACCACCCCACCTACCAAATCCCCACCCCCCGCGGCAGACGGCTCCGCATTCCAGATGGGGAGCAGAAATTGTACCAGCTCAGCTCAGACCTAGTATTTGTACCGTAATAACTATCTCAACGCCCCCCCACCCCTGACAACTGCCGGCAATAAAGAGAGAGGGTTACATTAAGATGGAAGGAGTATTTTGAGGACCTTTTGAGGAGAAAGAAGAGTAGAGATTGTAGAAACTGTGGCTGAGGAAATGGGAAAGATTAGTGAGGGTCAAGTTCAGAGAGCTTTGAACGGCTAACGGAAATGTCTAGCAGTGAGGTTTATGACTCAATCATTCAATGGCATATTTGAGACTGAGAAATTCTCTGAGGAATGGAGGAGAAGTGTGCTGGTGGTCATTTTTTAAGAACAGGGGTGATGTAGAGTTGTAGCAACTACAGGGGAATTAGTTGATGAGTTACATAATGAAGATCTGGGAGAGAGTTGTGGAAGCTAGACTTAGACGAGAGGTGACTATTTGTGAGCAACAGTACGGTTTCTATTCACTTGATTTATATAGCGCCAATCACAACAGAAGTTGTCTCAGGGCACTGTACAAAAACATTCACATACATAAAAAAGCCAGTTAGTAAAGTTCTCTATCTAAGGAAGCCAGCAGATTGCACTGAATCTTCACTTTGTCGCAGTCTCCCATCCTGAGCAAGCACAAAGGCAACAGTGGAAAGGAAAAACTCCCTTTTAACAGGAAGAAACCTCCAGCAGAACCAGGCTCAGGACGAGTGGCCATCTGTTTTGACTGACTGGGGTTTGAAAGGACAGGAAGGAGAAACAAATGCAGAATGGCAAGTCCAAGTGTACTTTCTATCGGAGGAAAGACAAAAATATTTGTCATTATTTGAACAAAGGCCCTAATGACCCTCAGGAGGCAGACAAAAACCCTAATGACCTTCAGGAGGGAGGGCGACAAAGACACCAACGACCATCAGGAGAGAGGGACGGAGACAAAGATCCCAATGACCCTCAGGAGGGAGGGAGGGAGACAAAGACACTATTGACCCTCAGGAGGGGAGGGAGACAAAGACACTAATGACCATCAGGATGGAGGGAGACAAAGACACTAATGACCTTCAGGAGGGAGGGAGACAAAGACACTAATGGCCCTCAGGAGGGAGGGAGGGAGACAAAGACACTAATGACCATCAGGAGGGAGGGAGACAAGACACTAATGACCCTCAGGAGGGAGGGAGGGAGGGAGACAAAAACACTAATGACCATCAGGAGGAAGGGAGGGAGACAAAGACACTAATGACCATCAGGAGGAAGGGAGGAAGGCAAAGACCCTAATGACCTTCAGGAGGGATGGGAGAGAGATTACTTTGCATGTAAGTGTAGCTGCATATACAGAGCTCATGCATTTTAAAAGTTGGAGCTCTCCAGTTTTTAATCGAAAAACATTTTCAACTACAGAAATTAATTTTTCGTTAAAAAATCTCTCAATCTTCGTCTTTTTTCAAAGTGAACTAAGGGTTAGAATGAGTTTGGTAAGTTGCATATTAAGAAGAGAAACAAAAAGCTAACAATAGAAATGTAATGTTAAAAATATTCTGAACTGCATCTACAGTCCACAGTGTAACAAAGAACTGTGCTGTCAGTAATGATATTTTTCTCTTTCAGACCCAGTAAGCTACAAAGCAGAACTTCAAAAGGATCAGGATCCAAAGCTAAAATCTAAATGTTCAACCAAAGCCACCAACAGGAAATCTTTGAAAAGACAAAGCTCTACAAAAAAAGGGAAGAATAATGTTTCAGTTGAAGATTTTTCTCCTCAGGAGCTCGAGAAAAAGATGGTGCCTCTTATTCCTGAAGAGGCCGAGGCCATTGTTGAGTCTGAGGTGGAAACCAGTAAAATCCCAACACACAAGACGTTTCAGAGGACACTGAGTCCTGCCGATGTCCTCCATGTTCACAGTTATGCTAAAGGAGACTATGTAGAAGAAGCCTTGTTCAAGGAGGAGGAAAACAGTGAAAATGGTGACGAGAGCAAGAACAACTTTAGCCATGTCAGCAAAGAGGTGAGTGGATCTCACATACTCTTATTGTCATTGGACGTGTGTCTCAGACAACAAATTGTTTCTGACGTGTTATCTTTTTGGCCCATTACACTTAACATTGTTATTTAGTTACAGTAAAATCACAGTTACGTCTTCTGTAACAATAAACAAAGGAAGCAAAAGCACAACAAATTATAATATTAGCCTTTAGATTAGTTTATGTTCTTCACTGTTTGAGTTCTCCAGCTTAATGAAAGACCTGAAATCACGTGGAAGAAACTGAAGACAACCATACTTTAAGTTTAAAGGGATTAATTTGCTTATTTTCATATTTACAAGACACATAATGAGTTATGACTGAGCGATTCAGGTGATAGGCCAGACAAAGAGCGATTCAAAATACTTGTACAGACAAAGAAGAACAAGGAACTCAGTGTCTCTTGTCCAGATGTGGGTTATCGGGGCCCCACCCTGGAGCCATCCTTGGGGGAGGTGCTCGTCAGTGAGCACCTGGTGACGGGGTCTCTAACCATGGGGCCTGGTCAGGCTCAGCCCAAATGAGCAACATGGGTTTGCCTTCCTGTGGGCCCACCACCTGCAGAAGGGGCCATACGAGTCCGGTGCATGACGCCAAGCGCAGTGGCCGAAAGTGGGGGCCTTGGCTCTCTTACTCTGACTTACCAAAGCTGGCTCGTGGGACAACTCCAGTTTATTGTACCTTCATAAGTGATTTGGCGCATATAAATAAACTGAATTGAATTGAACTGAATTGAAACTCGCAGTAAGACTTGGTGCCTCCCCATCTGAAGTTGTCCTTGAAGTCTATGACATGTCCAAATGTTCATTCAGAAGGTTTTGTAGCTAGTTCAGGCTCTCAGATGGACGAGAACAATTCTTTGGCCACAGAAACAAACCTGAACATGACTGATGCTCAAACACATGCTAATGTTTTACTTTTTTTTTCCATCAGGTGCCAGAAGAGCTAGCGGCTGTTGAAGAACCAGAGACTGTAGGTCAACTGTCAGGACATGATCCTCTCCTAAAGGATGACAAAGGTGATGAAGGGTTCCATCAACAAAAACACGAAATCTCAAACCTCTGGTGGTATCAGAATCAGATGAATGTGTTTGTTTTTGTGGCACAGAGACTCCAGAGGAGCCTCCCCCAGTTGAGGAGGAGAATTTGGAAGGGGAGAACTGGGCTAAGCCTTTGGCCCATCTTTGGCAGAGCAGACCCCCCAATCTTAAGAAGGAGAGAGAGTACAATCATCTAACGGGCTCCAAACCTCCTTACTGCTCCATCTGTATGCTCTTCCAGACATACCAACAGGTAAGCTGTACCATAGCAGTAACCACTCATCTGTCAGTGTTTTAAAAAAAGGCATTCAAAAATTGAAAACATACCATGAAATTCTGAAATAAATTATGAGTAGGAAATTTAGAATGACTTATTATATAAGATGTTGAGTCTGTATTCAAAAAACGTTGATTAAAACTCGGTCCAATTTACTTTATTTATAAAGCTCTAATTCACAACAAAAGTCATGTCAGGGCACTGTCCAAAACAAAATAAATATTCAAAGGTTATTGTGCTTGGGAACAATGTGTTGCCTCTGGATTTAAAATAGGGCTGCATGATGTTAATAAAACATGCAATTGCAATATTAGCATTGAATATTGCAATAACAATATGAGTTGTGACAAACACAAATGTTCTGTCATAATGTTCACAACAGTCTCCATGTGCTGGTTGTGGGCATTTAGAAGAATGAGGAATCAGTGAATGCCAAATTTGCATTTATTTATATTTTTGGCTGCTTTTTAAAAAAAAGGCTTTGCAACATTAATATTGCACCTGCTGATACTGCAATATTGACTATTTTTAGATATATTGTGCAGCCCTACATTTAAAGTAATTGCCCTTTGTGCTGCAGTTGGACTGAAAGAGTTAAATATTCTGGAGTTGATTCAACTATTATTTTGACCCTGAAATCTCTTAACATACATCCCAAATTGTGATTTTCATACCAAGGTATGTGACCCTCATACTGAGCTATGAACCTATAAAGGGACCTACATGCGACCCACATGCTATGGTATGACCCATACTAAGACACTCACAACATACTCCGTTTGTACAGACCATTCTACAATTCTCATACTTGAGTACAGAACTGTGACCCTGGTACCGAGGTATGTACTGAATCGTTACCCTCATTGAGGTACGAACCATGCCAAGACCTTTAAACCGAGGTATGTGACCATCATACTGAGCTAAAAATTAAATCGGCACCCTAATACCGAGGTACATCACCATCCAACCAAGTTATTAATGGAACTGTAACCTTCACACTGAGTTATCAAACTGTGACATAGGCATATTATTATACTGCTACAGTAAAGTGTTAAATATGTCATTTTAATTAGTTTAGAGCCACTTAATAAAATGATTTAAAACGTAAAGCCTAGGACAAGTTATAAAAGTCAAAGTTGTAAATGTTCTAGACACTTTGAGATATTTGATCTCTTTGAACTATCAAAAAAAAGTTGCAGGAAAAAAATGTATATGTTGAAAAACATCCATCCATCCATCATCCATTATCTTTTACCCGCTTCTTCCATTTTGGGTCACAGGGGTCACCGGTGCCCATGTCCAGCAATCACTGTGCGAGGGGCGGGGTACACCCTAGACAGGTCGCAAGTCCATCACAGGGACACATTGAGACAAATAACCATTCACTGTCTCACTCACACCTAGGGACAATTTAGAGTTACCAATCAGACTTTTTGGTCTGTGGGAGGAAACCGGAGTCCCCGGAGAAAACCCACGCATGCATGGAGAACGCATGCAAACTCCACCCAGAAAGGCTCCCAGACCGGGATTTGAACTGAGGACCTGCTCGCTGAGAGGCAGCAGCTCTACCAGTTGCGCCACCGTGCTGCCTGTTAGAAAAACATGAGAAATGGAAATAGTTTTGAAAGACCAGCACTTGAATATAAAGAATATACTGATATTTGAACACCCTTTCTTCCAGCCTTCTCTTGCTGGATACTGAAGCTGAAATTGTCCATTATGTCCGTGTATTTGAACCGATACACCTCCCAGTCAACAGTAGTTTAGTGTGACGAAATGAAGATCCACTTTGTCGTCAGTCAACAAAAAGGGTTTGGTTTAAGTCTTGTATTTCTTTTCTTTTTCTTGTGTTTAGAGTAAGAGGGTCTGCTCTGCACCATATTTCTTCTTTCTGGCAGTGTTGGGGTCCACATACAGGCCTGACTGATTTACTGCAGCATTTATGTCGTTTTCAGTTCCTGTGTGGACAAAAACATTTTTTGAAATGATGGATGGGGATATTTCAGGAACAGCAAATAAAAAGCTGCCTTTAAAAGATTGTGTTTCCATGAGAACAAGGCCTTAATTAGTTGTAGTTTGATTAAAAAAATATTTTGTTTTTCCTTGTCTGCTGTCAGACGCAGTACAGGAACAGTGCAGACAATCCAGTCACATTGGCCGGAGGGCAGAGGAGGACCAAACCTCTGATTCCAGAAATGTGTTTCACCACCACCACAGAAGAAGACGCTGAATGTGAAGATCAACCCATCAAACCTTATCTAGAGGAAGATGGAAGCAGCCTCCTCATCAGCTGCTCACAGTGCAGCGTTTGGGTCCACACCAGTCAGTACAAAAACATCCAAACTGATAACTCTGGACACATATTTACATGATGTGCTTGTTTTTACCGTAACCTTTACCCTTATTAATGTCTCACAGGTTCACTTCTGGTGCTTTAAAATTGTCATTGTCACCTGGTGCTGTGTCTGTGACTGTTTGTGTTTTGTGTTAGCAAAATGTCTCATGAAGCACTGGACAGATTAGATTGAATTTTTCTGAAAGTAATCCTTGGATTTACATCTACAACTAAATAGACTCAATCCAAATCAATATGACCAGCATTGCTAATTGACATTAGCAAACACTATAGTGAATTTGACTTAGTCGTGTTTGTAGCCATTGAGTTTAAATTTGATGTGGTAGTTACGGAGTCTCTCACAACACATATTCTGTCCATCAAACCTTGCATTATTGCACAAGATCACACACACCATTGTTTTTAAGATATGAACAAAAAGGCTATAACTTTGTCCTTACTCATCATAAGTAGGGACGGGGCCGATCCGATCCAGTATCGGTATCGGCCTCAGATACCAGCATAATTTACGCATCAGATTTTCCGATCCAACCTGCCGATATTTCCGATCCATGATGCATGTTGGCTTCAAACTATGGAACAGATTTTCTGAACGGCAGTGTGTCTCAAGAACCCAGAGTAATAAGACTCGCCTCACATTCAGGAAATCCATTTCATAGTTTGCAGGCAGCTACAACATGATGGCTGAGTTAGCAGCACAGTGGCTAACAGCTAACCAACTTTTCATCAAAGAATGTCCGCTGTGTGGAAGTATTTTACACTAGAAACACCACAAAACAAGACAGCATCGTGCAATGTCTGCAGAGCCATAGCGCCACATTAAACCGTGGTAAAGTTAGTTTTACGATGGACATTCGAGCTCTGTGGTTTCAGCGGGGCGCTGCTCTTTGCTCAACCCAAAACAGGCAACTCGACCCCGGCCAGCCGCGTTCAGTCTGCCTGTCTCTGAGGAGGGACAGACCGAGTGCGGCTGACCGAAATCAGGCTACCTGCTTTGGATTGAACAAGAAGAAGACATCGCTGAAGCCACGGAGCTCGAATGTTTACCGAGAAGTTGCTAAACTTCATCGTAATTAATGACCAACCACTATCAGTTGTAGAAAACTAAGGATTTCACAGCTTGATACTTGCAGCCCAGATATAGTTTACCCTCCAGGAGATATTTATCAGTACAACAGTAGACAATCATAAAAAAACATATGATTTGAAAATTATATATATAAAAAAAAAAAAACGAAACAAAAGCAGCTACATTATAAAATGATGTAAAATACTAAAAACAGGAACATGTCTGTGTTGGTTCATACCATGAACTTAGCAGGTGTTTGAAGCCATTTAACATTTTATTTTATTTTATTCATTTATTCATTCATTTAAAAGAAACAAAAAAAAAAATCATCAAAAAGAAGACATTGAATGAAAAGAGTGCAGAAAGAAGAAAAAAATTCTTATACCTGCCCCTTATTTAAAAAAATATAAAATAACTTTAACCAATCACTTAAATTAATCACTTTAATATCCACTTTAAAGCTAGGAATAAAAAGAAACATGTTTTGTGTTAGCAGAATTTAATTATAACTTTAAAACTTATCCAAAATTAATAAAACTTACCTCAAGTTGCCTTTTTGGACATGCATGCATATATTTGTACAACTTGTACTTGAGAGGAGATTATTACAGCCTCATATAAAATCAATGATGATCATGATATCGGAACTGGATCGGTATCTGTAGATATTCAGATTTAGGTATTGGGATCGGATCGGAAGTTTAAAAAAGTGGATCGGTTCATCCCTAATCATAAGATGATCTCAGGCTGAAACTCTGGCACGATCTGTGGGTGATGAGCATTCTTTCAAGGAATGCTTGACTTGAACAGAATATTTGATGCTGGATGACATTTCTGCAGTAACCAGTACATTGTGTTTTCAGGATGTTTACATTCAACAGGTGATTCTGAATGACCTCTCTCTGTCCCTGTGTGTTTGTACGCCCCAGGCTGCTACGGTGTGGATCCTGCCAGAGTGAACAAGGAGTGGAAGTGTTCACGATGTAAAGCCAATGCTATGACGGAGGTCAGTCAGTATTTATTGTTTAATTCACTTGACATCATACAACCCCGATTTAAAAATAAGTTAGGATGTTGACTAACAAGGAACTAGAAATATAATGTTATAAATTTAAAACATCTCAAACAAATGTATTCACAGAACAGAAAATATCAAATGTTTAAACTAAGAAAATGGACCATTTAGAAATAAAATCCAAGTAATTTCAAATCTGATGGCAGCAACCAGCTTCATGTTTCTTTGAAGCATCCTCTTTCAGCAACAGTCTGTAAACATCCAGGACCTGAGTGGGCCAGTTGTTGTTTTTGAAAGGAATGTTGTCCCGTTCTTGTCCGTTGATTCTAGCTGTTCGACAGTCCATGCTCTTCTTTGATGAGAGAGCTGGACTGCAGGCAGGTCACTTCTGCACCTGGACTCATGCTGCGGCACCATGCTGCTGTATTGGCTGCAGTATAAGCTTTAGCACTGTCTTGCTGAAATATGCAAGGCCTTCCCTGTACAAGAGGTCATCTGAATGGGAACAGATGTTCTAAGAACCTGTATCCGTTGGGATGGAAGAAGGGAGGATGGGAGACGGTGACTTCATCACCGTCTCCCATCCTGCGCAAACACAAAGGCAACAGTGGAAAGGAAAAACTCCCTTTTAACAGGAATAAACCTGCAGCAGAACCGGGCTCAGGACGAGCAGCCATCTGCTTCGACCGGCTGGGGTTTGAGCTCAGTCTCTGTTGCCATGGTGATGAAAATAGGTTTGAGCTAAGTCTGTGTTAGCACAGTGATCTCATCATACTTGAGCATAAATCCAGATTAATTTGACTCTTTATATGACTATTAAGGTTTTTATATACAACTATAAAAAAATTTAAATAAAACATATGAATATAGTCAAAAGGACTATAGGTTAGTGTATAATGGAGATGGTGCAGAGAAACGGGCAGCTCTCCATGACTATGCTAACCAGGAGGGAGTGCACCTTGGCTGGGAAGTGTAGGGACACGTCTGCATGGTCTGTCGGAAATTGTTTCCGTCTCTTTATAACATCCATCCATCCTCTTTAACCCACTTATTCTTTTTCGGGTCACAGGTGCCCATATCCAGTAATCACTGTGCGAGAGGTGGGGGACACACACGACAGGCCTCCAGTCCATCACAGGGCCACATAGAGACAAACAAGACAAACAGCCATTCACTCTGTCACTCACACCTAGGGACAATTTAAAGTTACCAATTTTACAAAATAGTTATTCTCAGTTAACAACAGAAACACCAGATTTTCCTCCTCTTGCCTTTCCATCATCAGCTGAAAATAAACATCCACTCCGCCAGCTAGTCTGTGTTGTTTCTGTTTGTGGGTGATGTGAGCAGCAGTTCTGCTCTGCAGTTTCTCTTTGAGTATAAACTGTCCATGCAGAAAAGAAAAGTTCACAATCACATCAGAGAGAACTGATGTCTTACATGTTATGAAGTGTAAGCAGGCCTTAATACGTTTTGCATGTTTTCTGTAGAACTGCTGCCTTTGTTCGCTGAGGGGCGGAGCCTTGCATAAAACCACCAACGACAAGTAAGTTCTGGCGTCCCTGAGGACATCGTGGGCATCAGAGACACTCAGACCGCTTTTCATACTAGAAACAAGTGTTACAGAATATAACTGAAGCCATGTTCTAAAACCTTCATTAACAGCCAATATATAGGAAAATGGATATAAACATTTATAAAGTTGCATTGGGGAAAAAGTATTTAAATCTGTTTTGGCCAGTGGACATCTATAGGGAAGTTCGTCACAATCACATGACGATTCAAAACTTGATGGTGGGCAGAAAGACAACACATGGTTTGTTTTATACAAATTTAAACAAAATCGGCCCAATCCTGTGTTGTGGTTGGAAAAAGAGAAGTAGAAATTCCTGGCATTATGTATGTATGTAGTGAGTAAAAACAACCCAGATAGATGAAACAAGTGGCTTTTGGCTATCAACAGAAAGGCGTCTGAATTCATTCAACCTTTATTTATACAGGTTAGTTCCCAATGAGCCTCGAGGACTCATTTACAATAGAGACTTGTTTCAGACAGACAAACGTAGATAAGGAAAAGAGAAACACGAGGGGAGGGGAGGTAAAAAAGAAAATTGTATCTCGCACTACGTCCTGGCCGGAGCACAGTGTAAAAGTTGCAAAAAAGACCTCTCACATAAACGGCAACATACTAAAGACACCATAATACATTTATGCATGAGGAGGCTGACAAAGGCAGTGAGTTGTCCGTGGACACTGCCAGAAAGTTCCATAGTCCTGATAAGAGATGACACAGTGTCTATCAGCCGGCTCAGCTCTGATACAGGTCCACAGATGTCCTCGGGAAGGGGGGGGGGGGGGGGGGGGGGTTGGGGCAGAGCAGAGCTTCTTGTTCACATAACCTCCAGGAGAAATTTGAGATGGCCTATTCAAGGCCAAGCAGGGAAGCCAGATTCAGATAATTGTTTTGGGTCAGGCCGACTCTGCTTGATTTTATTGTCTGACTTCATAGTTCATTATTCGTTGAATAATGAGGATGTCTGTGGTGTTTATTTTCTATCTGGTAAATTTAATTATTTTTTTCAGTCAGTTAAAATTCTGATATACCTGTATATCTTCTACATGCATGTACTACTCACCTTATCAATACAGTAGTCCCTCGCTACTTTGCGGTTTGTTTTTCGCGAATTCGCGATATCGCGGTTTTTCAAAGTAAGGTTAGACATGACACAGTTGGCTGATTGATGGATGAGTCATGGATTGTTTATTTAAAATAAATTATTTTAAATGATTTTGCACCATGTGTGCAGCCCACAAGTGCAGGGGAAGCTCCCCCCTGCAGCCTGTCATGATCTCCTTCTCTGCCACGCACACATTTCTCCTGCTGCATCGACTTTGTGAAGGGTTAACCCTTTGCTGCCCAGATGCACCGATCGACTTTTGTCTTCCAACTTAAAATTCCAAGTATGTCACATTGTAAAAGGTCATAATCACAAAATATAAAAGTGTTAAAAAAGTTATTTTAAATCATTTTAGAACTTTTATGTTCACTTGTTGCAGTGTAATTGATCAAGAAGTACATTTCTGCTCCGTGCTGCAGAGCTGCATGACGGGTTAACCCTTTGATGTCCTGCTGCACTTCTCTACGCTAGAATTTAAATTTAAATACTGTAATATTTTAATAAACAATCTGGATTGTTTATTAAAATATTACAGTATTTAAATTTAAATAGTTTATTTTATTTATTATTATTTTTTAATTAATTTATTCATTTCATTTAAAAAACACATATACAGTATACATAAACATATATGTACACATATACATATACATACTGTATATATATATATACATACACATACACATAATTATACATACAATATAAAAAAAAAATTTAAATAAAATGAAAGGTGGCAGAAGAAGAACTAGTCTTATGAAAACTGCCCCTTTTTTACTTAATTCTAATGTAAATCAAGATATTTTTACAAAATTAAATTTAAATGTAATTCACAAAGACAATAACGATTTAGTGAAATTAAAATATAAAACTCAAACGTCTAAATCAAATCAGACAACAACTTAAGTAGATTTATATTAATGATTTCCATATTCTTTCAAGAAACTTGTCTTTATCAATCTCTTAAATGTAAACAGTGATCTGGCATTTTTAACGTTATCATCCAAACCATTCCACAATCCTATTCCCTGAATTATTGTGGATCGTTCCCTAAAACTGGAGGCATATTAAACATATTTAAGGCGGGAGATTGGGAGTAACAGGTGATGAGTGTGATTACATCCTGGTACATGTCATGACAAAGTTTACTGCACTTGGACTACTGTATCCCTACTTCGGTTTTTCACTTATCGTGGGTGGGCGTGGTCCCAAACACCCACGATAAACGAAGGACTATGGTACATGCTGATCTCAACAGATACTGAAAAACAAAACAGCAGTGTCAAAATGTGTAACCTGTTTTCACAAGGAAAGAGCTGGAAACACAGCAGTGAATTAGCCTGTTGAATTTATCTGTTATCAATCTGACAGATTTTCAGGAAACTGATTTCCCAAGTTTCTGGTGATTCAGAGTCATTCAATATGAGTGCGTGTGGCAGGGAGGGGGGTATGAGAGAGATGTATTTTAGTCTAGCTATATTTGTATCCAGCTGTAGGCCTTCAGCGACTCAGGTGAACAAACCCCAATATCTAATCAAATCCTCCCAAATATTTGGCGTAATCAAACTTTGTCCAGAGTGTTGGGTTGTCCTTCATCCACTTCTCACCGTGTACCAATCTGGAAACAAATCTTTCCTTTCCACATAACGCTCCCTTGCCTTCAGGGATTCGCCTCTTTTTATAACGTCTCATTCATTGTGACCATTTGCCTTTTAGCAGTTTAGCGAAAAGGAGAGTGTGTTTATAAACTTAACCTTCCTTATTTTCCTGATAGATCTGAAGAACAAAGCTAAAAAACATCTTCACTGCTCCTTATACCAAACAGAGAGGTCCTTATAGCTGAAAGGTGAAAGAGGACGAGTGCTAATAGTCTACAAAAACAAACGTACTTCAGCTGTTTCTGTAGGTAAACCAATGCACTTCAGCAGTTTCTTTATGTAAACAAACACAATTCAGCTGTTTCTGACGATAAGCAAATGCACTTCAGTCGTTCCTGGTGGCAAACCATCGCACATGGTGGCTGTTATCAGGGTTTTTTAAGGATACAGTAATTTTGTGGATGTTATTACTTTCTTTATATTTTTGGACTGGTCTTTTTGACACTGCATCGAGGAGCTTCATGTCCTGTTGTGTTACAAAACATAGAAATGTTGTAAACAGTGGGCGTGTGTGTTGCAGGTGGGTCCATGTGCTTTGTGCCGTGGCAGTTCTGGAAGCTCGATTTGTGAACGTTACTAAGAGGAGACCCGTGGATTTAAGTGGAATCCCCCTGCAAAGATTTAAACTGGTGAGTTCACTCCACACCTTCAGCTGGAACTACAAGGTCTTGGAAGCAACTTAGTACAGACTTGATCCATGCGGTAGTGTCGTGCAAGTGTCATGCGACCTTTTCTAGCACAAACGGGTAGCTGCATCCTGACCCGGTCTGAGAGAGTTGCACCAGAGCAAGCTCCAGGGTTTGGTGTTTGTGTGAGTACTGCTGTTGGAATACAATTCTGACATGTAGACCTTTGTGAGGAAGCAGGAGACAGTCTTGGGAACGCAGAAGTAGCAGAGAAAGTCTGTTTTGAGCCCGGAGAGTGCAGTAGTGTTGTGGATTTCTTGAAATATTGGTGGATTTTTTTTGGGAAAATTGTATTTTGTCAAGATTTATTTGAAGCTATATCAGATCATGAGTTCAGCTGAGCACAGAGTCTGCAGAATTTGTGGCATAGAAAAATATATAACAAGAAGTATATGTTTACCTGATGGCCTGTGATTGGGGCAAATTTGGACCTACGAGCCAATCAGCCTTCAGGAGGTGCTCATGAGCAAAATGGGCACGAATCCCTCAGCCAGACAGCTGACTTTGGCTTCAGGACCCGGGCTGGCTTGATTAGACGGGAGGAGCCGGACCAAATGTCTTTCACTCATCACACAGGGGCGTTCTAATGTGTAGGCAGTTTGGACATGTTTAATTCCATGTTCTTTGGAGTCAGAGACATAAAATAAGTTTTCATCCACTGCGGCATTATGATTGGCATCAGACTGAAGGAGGTGTTCTGAACCTGATGTGATCAAATGTTCTGATGGGTTCTAGTGGTTGTGGGATTGTCCTTCTGTGTGTAGAGGTCTAACTGTGGTGCGTTTCAAATACATGTGTAACACATCCTTTTTACAGGTGCACCCATTTATTTATTACACTGATGTCTTCTGTCGGTCTCCTTCTGAACATGTTTTCTGCATGATTCAGGAAACGATCAGGTCCTGGTAAAGTCACATGTTCTCTTATGCTGCTGTGAACAACACTTCTATGATGTTTTTGTGTCACAGAAATGTTACTATTGCAAGAAGCGGATGAAGAAGGCATTGGGCTGCTGTCTGCAGTGCTCTCATGGACGCTGTCCCACCGCATACCACCCCACGTGCGCCCAGGCCGCCGGCGTTTTGATGCAGCCGGACCAATGGCCCTTTGTGGTCCACGTCACCTGCTGTCGACACAAAGGTCCCACTCAAATCGAGGTTAGATGCCCCTCAACATTTTCTCTTCAAGTCACTAAAAACTCTCTAAATAAAAGCAAATTTTTTCATTTTTTTTAATTTTAATTTCATGTTCATGAATTTCCTGCACATCAAAGAACCATGAAGCAGTTTGAAGCAGACATCAGGATGATAACCTCTGTTTTTTTTACTCATCTCACAGCGTAGTAAAGCAGCTATGCATGAGCTAACTGTGGGACAGAAAGTCATCTGCAAGCACAAAAATGGCCGTTACTATCAGTGTGACGTGGTGCAGTTGTCCAAAGAGACGTTTTATGAAGTCAACTTTGACGATGGTTCTTTCAGTGATAACCTCTTCCCAGAAGACATCGTGGTAGGTTTTATTTCTTTAACTTCATTCTCCTTCATTGAAAAATAAGAAACTTTTGGAAGGACCCTTTAAATGTGGGATCTATGTCAGAAATGTTCCAAAGTCTGGATTTGTGCCAAACATGAAGTCAGCCCACACAATAACACACAATGTCTACATTTACTTCATCCAGTTGTTTAATCGTTTACAATAAAGTTCTGGTTTTGTAAAATATTTTAGATTTACTTTATTTCTGATTCATATTAAAAAGAAACCATGGCAGCGATGGCACGTTTATTCAGTTTCACATCAACATTAGCCAGCCATCTAAAGGCTGAAGTCCTGCAGCACAACAGACAGACCTGGAAAACAGTGGAGCTGTGCAGTAACAGATTCAAGGATTCAAAGAGTTTATTGTCCTATGCACAACTGGAAACATGTTTCCCTGATGAATAAAATTCTTATCTTGCTGTCCACAAAAACGGCCAAGCAGAGAAAGAAAACTATTTACAAATAAAAGAAAACCAAAAATACCAACAAAGTAGAATGTGCAAAATGTAACATCAAATAAGACAAAAAAGGTCTTGGATCTTAAAAGATCTTAGCCTTGTTCTCCACCACCACTGAAGGAGTCCCACTTTGGGACCTCTAGTCCACAGATGTTCCTTCACACTGGTCCAGATGTTCCTGCACACTCTCTAGCCC